GTCCTCTCTTGAGCGTGTGTCTCTCAGTGCCTTTTCTGTGCGTTCTTCTTCCGAGGCAGCTCTGCTGCCTCCTTTTAAAGTCTGAGGATCAATCAGCTAACAGCTCTCACCTGTGCTGATTGATCCTCTGTGGTGCAGGTGAAGGTGCTCTCTCCGCCCCTTCACCTCCACAAATACCTTTGCCTCAACCTCAACACACAAAATGTTTTGACTGGATCTGGTCTTGTGAAATTTGGTGCAGATAGGACAATATATAGTTAAGTTGGAAGAACTTCCTGTTTCAAGGCGAAACATCAAACTTTTATGTCACCCCTAAGATACACTGTGAAGAGTATATCTTTTTATCTTGAAAGTGTTAAGATAACACTGATCCAATATGAAGGTGATCTGATTAATCCTCTATGATGAGGTTGTTTAAGTAAAATGCATAGAAATGGCAAAAGCAGAGCAAAATTGTACATTACTTTCAGCAGTAATGCCAGTAATGGCCAACTTCCTGTTGGGTTGAGGGTATGGCAGAGACTTTTCTGTGAGATTAGACATGGTACATATACTTACTTACATATACCCTTTTTTAGCATGTTTAGCCCCTCAAAAATGTGATCAATTGTAAAAACTAAACATCAACTTTCAGCACATTGCCAAAGCAATAACGTTCAGCAATATTCATAACATATTATTGACCACGTCTAAAGGGTCTTCTGACCAAATTTCAGCTGGATGTGGTCAACCTTTATTAATGTTTTCACCCCTGCAACATAGTTATATAAATTGTGAAGTAATTAAAGTGTGTCTCCTGGCCACAGACACCCTTATATACAACTGTACAGCCTGGCGTGTGTCAAATGTCAATTATGGTTCACCAGGGGCATGACATCATTCATGGGGACCTAGTGTTAATGTCCTGTTAAAATTTAATTTCCCCACATATACTGTAGTTGCTTAAATTATTCACCTGACCCACTACAATACCTGGAAAGGTGTGATAATTTTGATGAAGAGCCCACTGGCACCCTGCCCAATGTGCTTCATAAAATACATACTTGGAAGGACTATTATTAACAGTTCTGTTCAGCCTTCCTCCTGACACCTAACAACAAAGAAAACCCTATTCAGCTAAGCCGTCCCTAACCAACCTCCCCAGGTGTACTGTTGGTACTGCAAGGGAAGTCATGCACCATCATCCTGTCCACAGTGGAAAGCTAACAGAGCTAATGGGACCCTGTGCCAACCTTAATCCTGTTTGATCAAGGGTCCTAGTTTGTGTCATCCATCTTTGAGGAAACTTGTCAGCTATGGTACCTCAAACAGAAATGGACCTCACCCTGTCATCTTCAAACAAAGGTGACGGAGAGAACAAATCGAAGGCCATGATTGCTTCATTTGTGAAGGAAAAACACAAGAACTGGGACAAACACTTGACATGAAAGCAGAATTCCAGAAGTTTGTAAGTAGCAACCTGGAAAAAGCCAAGCAATGGTAAAAACATAATAATCTAATCATCTAAAGAAGGGAGAAGAGGCGAAACATTTTCAGATTACAATCGTCTGGATTTATACTCACCCTTACTCAAAGTTTGACAAATCTTTGAAGTAGTTCTGGAAGATACTGGCAAATACCTTTGTGTTGTCCATGTAGTTCAACTCAAGCCATGCTATCCCACAGCTGAGGAAGTGGACCGAGATCAATGTTAGCGGATCCACATTTTCTTGGTTTTCCTACCATAGGTATTGAGGATAATCTTACAGAAAGATGTAAAAGGAAAAAAAGCAAACCCCTCCTAAATTCAGGCTTCTTACAGGGGGGAAGGAGTGTGACAACCTTGATTTCACCACAGGATTGCACTGCTGGTGACACACAGTAAACACACCTTTTTTTCCCTTAAACACTAGCTATTTACTGCCCTGATCACATATGAATATGCCATGCTGGAGGAGCTGGACTACCTGTGCAACCTGATTGGGTACCGCATCATGCTACCAGTAGTAACAAGGACGCTAGCAGAACACAAAACTACAGTCAGAAAGGAAACGACAGAGCAGCAGTCTGAGGCCACAATATGCAAAACCATTCCCTTTTAGGGAGTTGACTTGCTTTTGCCTCTCCATTTCACCTAAATGGACATATTGATATCACTGAAGTTTTACTGACTTGGTGTTATACTGTGATGATTAAGTGTTTTTGAGCAGTGTATACTCTCCATTAAAAGGGTCAGAGTCTCAGGCTCCTAAGGGATTTACTCGAAAAGAGATTCACTAAAACTTGTTGGTGAGGAGACACATCTAGCTAGAAGCTGTCTTCATCCAGGCATAGCATAAATGTAATGTCCACAACTTCTCTATTAATTAATATATTTATTGCAATGGTTTAGTAGTGGCAAAGCTTACAGCAATGATTCAAATCTAATGTAAAAGTTTAAAAAGTAAAGAGTAAACATATAGATGATGAAAACTTCAGCATACTGTAAATAAATTTAAAAAATTGCTAAAATTATAAAAAATTTGGAGGGAGGGAGTGAGAGGCGACTTGGCCAAAGCCCCTTCCAGTTTCCTACCAAAAGTCTGAATTCTGTTAAAAAACTCCCATACAAAGGCTGATAGTCCTCTCTTGTAATTCAAGACTCAAATGGAAGAGCAGGCAAAAGTAGCCACAGAATGATTTTGTAATCCACAGCTCTGTTGGCTTATCTCGATGTTAAGATAGTTGACTTCCCAGAATACTTAAATCCAAGCTGTCTATATAATCTATGGATGCTTTCTCTCAAAGAGAGGAGACTGCATTCTCTATCTCTTGTTCTCCTTTGGGAAGGGCCTTTACCAGTCAGCTTGGCTGCAGAGAAAGAAAAAACTCTATTCTCCCCAGTTTACCCCTTAAATTCTCTTTTACACTCTCTCCACCCTTCTTCTAGAACTTTCTCAGGCATTATCACATTGATTTAGAATCAGAATCAGATTCAGAATCGCTTTTATTGACAGGTATGTGAACACACACGAGGAATTTGACTCCGGTTTTCCTTTGTTCTCTTAGTACAAACAGTTTAAAAAACAAAAACAACAAACATGGACAAAGGACAATAACAAAAAGCTATGTACAGTAGTTGGTGCAAATGGTGCATACTGCAAGGATGAAATAATCAATATACATATACAGTGTGTACAGTATATTGGTATGTACAGATATATTACAGGTGATGTTACTGATATATGAGTCCGGTTTTAGCTGTTTGACACAGAGACAGCCTGAGGGAAAAAGCTGTTCTTATAACGGGATGTTTTGGCGTATAGTGTTCTGTAGCGTCTACCAGAGGGGAGGAGTTTAAACAGTTTGTATCCAGGGTGTGATGGGTCTGCAGAGATGTTACCTGGCCGTTTCCTGACTCTGGTCTGGTACAGGTCCTGGATGGAGGGCAGGCTGACACCAATAATTTTCTCTGCAGTCCTTATTGTCCTTTGTAGTCTGTTCTTTTCCTGTTTTGTGGCCGATCCAAACTAAACAGTGATTTAGGAGCAGAGAACAGACTGAATGATGGCAGAATTGTGACAGCTGCTCCTTAGGCAGGTTGAGCTTCCTGAGCTGGCGCAGGAAGTACAACCTCTGCTGGGCCTTTTTGGTGATGGTGACTGTGTTGGTCTCCCACTTCAGGTCCCGGGAGATTGTGGAGCCCAGAAACTTGAAGGTTTCAACAGCAGTCACAGAGTTGTTGGTGATGGTGATGGTGATGGGCGGCAGAGTGGGGGGGTGTCTCCTAAAGTCCATTGTCATCTCCACAGTTTTGAGTGTGTTCAGCTCCAGATTGTTCTGACCACACCAGCAGACCAGCCGTTCAACCTCCCATCTGTAAGCAGACTCGTCACCGTACTGGATGAGGCCGATGATCGTTGTGTCATCTGCAAAGTTTCTTGGGGACTGGGATTATTGTGAAGAGTTTGAAGCATGAGGGGACTTCGCACAGCTCCAGGGATCTGTTGAAGATCTGGGTGAAGATGGGGGCCAGCTGGTCAGCACAGCACAGACCTTCAGATGGGAGGTGACACACCGTCTGGGCCGGGAGCCTTCCTGATCTTCTGTCTGTGGAAAAGCAGACAAACATCCTCTTCACAGATATTGAGTGCTGGTGGGGGGTCAGAGGGGAGAGGTGGCAGAAGGGGTGTGGATGGGTCTTTTATGACTGGGGGGGAGGGGGTGTGAATAAGTCGAATCTGCAGTGAAACACATTCAGCTCGTCAGCCAGTTGATGGTCCACTGCAGTGTTGGGGGATGGTCTCCTGTAGTTTGTGATGTTCTGCAGGCCTCTCCACACTGACGCTGGATCGTTGGCTGAAAGGTTTTTTTTTTATCTTTCCGGCATAGCTCCTCTTAGCTGCTTTCATCTCAGTCATCAGTGTGTTTCTGTCCTGGTTGTACAGGACTCTGTGCCCACTTCTGTAGGCCTCCTCCTTGGCCTGACGGAGCTGCCTGAGTTTTGGAGTGAACCAGGGTTTGTTGTTGTATGTGCGGAAGGTCTTGGTTTAGCAGTTTTAATACATACATACATTGTGTTTGACCATTATTAACCCTGCTCCACCCTGCTGTCCAATGCACTTCCTCTTTTTAACAGAACAGAATGTTCTGGCACTCACATGATGCACACTTTAACATTTTTAAGGCCTTGAAATATTTGGTCTTATATATTACATCTCATTAATCATTATTATAAGGTATTTTCTTCTGGTTTTGATTTCATTAATTTTGCCAGAGGTTCTGTACTTAAATTATGCATGATTAGTTTTTCATTAATTACAGTAGTTACTCAACACAACAGGTTATCTGTAATAATCACTACTTTAATTGTGTTATAAACCAGAATTATGTAATTTAACTTGCTTAAGCACATGATATCCTGCACTCTTTATGGCAATATACATATATATGTGTACATAAGTGTGTTTGTGTGTGTGTGTGTGAAAAATATACTGTCAATTGCTTCTATTTACACACATGCTCTGTTTTTGTTTGTATAGCCAAACTGTACATCAGGCCATACATACAGCCAGTCATGCAGGAGCTGCTGCATGTGGTTAAAGAGACAGAGAATGACGACTTGACCAATGTCATTCAGAAGATGATCTGTGAGTACAACCAGGAGGTCGCGGCCATTGCTGTGGATATGACACAGAACCTGGTAGGAACACAGCATGAACATTTCCAATGATTTCCTGATTGGCAGGGCATTTCATATGAAGCTATATGTAACTCTTTCTTCAGGTTTGACAGTTATTGCAGAATATTTAATGTCATGTTGTAAAGTAAGTGTGTCTATGTTTCATAGGCAGAGATCTTCACCAGGGTCCTTCAGAGTGAGGAGTATGAGGAGAACGAAGACAAGACTGTCATGGCCCTTGGCCTCCTTAGCACCATTGACACCATACTCACTGTCATGGAGGACCACAAAGAGGTCTCAACACACATTCATATACACGCAGAATAACTTGCTACATTATTTGTATTGTAATATTTGATACTTGATTTCAGGTCACTCAGCAGCTGGAAGGAATCTGTTTGCAGGTGATCGGTCTGGTCTTGCAGAAGCCCATCATAGGTATGGCAGGTGTGTGAGAGCTGCTAATTACTTTATCACAGATTTACTTAATTCATATTTACTAAAATTCATACTTTGGTACTGAGGGGAGACGCTTGAAGAACTTCTTACTTAGTGTGAAACAATGGTCATGTGACAGGAGGCAGCCAAAAGCCTATCAACAAGTCGTGTTTCTCTACTCTGTGTAGTATTCAATGCAAATGTTAGTAATGCAATGGCTTGTCTTCAGGGGAAGCAAGTCAAGCAATGCTTGACCTGTTAAGTCTAAAAGTAGACATCAATTAAATGATATGTAACTGAAAGCTATTCCTTACATCTGATTCCAGAACAGCGCTGTGTCTCAAAGGATCTGATGTTGCCTATTTGCATTCATTTTTAATTTGCACCCTCTTGTGATGCAGTGGGTCATTGTTTTGTGAAGTTAGATGCAGTGGCTGGAAGTCAAGCTTCAAGTTTCTGTTAGCTTGTTGTGGATCTTTGTTCATCCGTATTAAGGATCAAATCTGGGATCTCTGTTTGTGTGAGTACTTGTCAAGCTGACATTGACTCTGCTTGCACTGTTCTGAGATCACTGGTTTCTGTTCCACCTTACAATTCTAGAGATAACACCACCTTTCTGTTTCATATTTATTACATTTACAAAACCTTTGCCCACAGTGTTGGTGTAGGTTTTTCTGAATATGTATGCTGCAAGTGCAGGTGTGTGTCTGTGTATGTCTGTGTGCAATCCTAGTAATTGGAGTGATTTGCCCTGGGCGTTGGATATTCTTACTCTGATGTCAGGTCAAGCTAATTTTTCTTTAAGAAATCTAGAACACACTCAAATGCACACAGCTGTGAAGTTTACCCCGTATTACATAGCAACAGGAGTAGGAGCTGAAAACATCAGTGAAGTTCCCAGGGGCATTACAGCACCTGTACAACTGCTACCAGTTTATATATACTATTTGAGATGTGTTTTTCTCCTGTGATGACACATTGTAAAGTAGAGATACATTTTGCAGTAAAAAGTGGTAATTGAAGCCCCTCAAATGTCAAATATACAAATATACTCAATCACAATCAAGGGAACTCTTAATCGTCACATTATAACACCAAGTCAGTTAAACTTTATGAACCATTTAGGAAGCACAAGTGATTGTGAATCAATTTCACCTGCTTTGGTGCAAATCAAGGTGACAACAGGTGCAATGGAGAAAAGTGAGACAACCGCAAAAAGGAAATGGTTTTGGATGTGGTGGCCACAGACAGTTGCCCTCTCCTTATCTTTCCTGACTGATTCTTCTAGTTTTGTGTTCTACTTGTGTCCTTGTCATTTTTGGTAGCATGAGGCAGTACCTGCAGCCCTATCAGGTTGCACAGGTAGTCCAGCTCCTCCAGGATGATATATACATATGTCGCAAAGACCTCCATGTCATAGCCAATGGTACCCTGACTGCTGTAAGGTATAGGGGTGAAATCCTTAGAGCGATTGTCAAACCTTACGCTGGTGTAGTGGGCCCTGGGTTACTCTTGGTGCAGGACAATACCTGGCCTCATGTGGCCGGAGTGTGTAGGCAGTTTCTGAATAATGAAGGCCTTGATGCCATTGACTGGTCACATCCAATTAAGCATCCAGGGAATGTCATGTATCATTGCATTTGATGCCGCCAAGTACCAACACAGACTGTCCAGGAGCTCACTGATGCCCTGATCCAGGTCTGGGAGGAGATCCCCCAGGACACCTTCACCCGGAGGCCATACACAAAAATAAAACATTGAAATCAGAGGTTGATCCAATTTGCGTGACTTTTAGTTGCTGTGATAAAAGTCACGCAAATTGGATCAACCTCTGATTTCAATGTTTTATTTTAATTTTCGTTGTGGCTTTGAATCCAGCCCTTAAAGAGTTGATGATCTTGGTTTCCATTGACCGTTGTTAATTTTGCTCTCAACAAATTATACAATTTACAACCGTAAAGATTTTCAACTAGCATAATTCGTTCATCAAGATCTGATGTGTGATTTAAGTGTTCCCTTAATAGAAGTGTACATTGTCAATGTGTGTGAACATTATATTAGCAGCCCTGTCTTCCCTCTCTGCAGAGTTCTATGAGGAGATCCTCTCCCTGGCATTTGGCCTCACCTGTCAGACAATTTCTCCCCAGATGTGGCAGCTACTTGGCATCTTGTACGAGGTCTTCCAGCATGACTGCTTCGATTATTTCACAGGTGCCTCACACACCAAGTACCAACGGTACACCAAGTGTAATCCAGTATCACATACACTGAGCACAATATTAGCTCTACTGGCTTAGTTAATTTGTTACTTAGTTTAGTGTGTGTGTGTGTGTGTGTGTGTGTGTGTGTGTGTGTGTGTGTGTGTGTTAAAGAGTTAAAGAGAAAGAACTAGGAACCAAAAAATTCTTCAATGTAAACAACTGTGGCAGCAAAAGGTTTTTTTTAAATTATGTTTCAGTTTTAACGATGTACCTGTAGAGTACATTTTCCTTTTTGCATGATGATACACCATCCCAGAAAAAATATAACACTATTAATGATGATATGCATTTGTGTTTCAGATATGATGCCTCTTTTGCACAACTACATCACTGTGGATACAGACATGCTCTTGTCTAACCCAAAACACTTAGAGGTCATTTACAGCATGTGCAAAAAGGTCAGACTACAGACATTTTCCCCTGCTGTTCGCTGTTGCATAAAATCTGATAAAAGATCCACTTTCTCCAGCTGCTCAACTATATTTTGACCTTTGCCCTGTAGGTGCTGACCATAGATGCAGGTGAGGATGCAGAATGTCATGCTGCCAAACTGTTGGAGGTCATCATCTTGCAGTGCAGAGGCAGAGGCATCGACCAGGTCAGACATGGCCCTATACATTACAGACTTCCATATAATCACATTTGACATTCAAATATTATACATTTAACACAGCAGTTCACAATATTCTCTGTCTTATATACCCTCACAATTTACACTACGCATCATGTTCCAAATTGTCAATTGAAGTCAATCTTTCCCACTCTCACTGACTGCAGCTTCCCATCTGATCATGGGTGACTTGCGCCTGTATTTTAAAGGATAATTAAAACTGTGGGTATCATTTCTATCAGTTATGGTAACATTTAATGCTGATGCAAACCTTATTGATAATAAGGTAGCTTCTGTATGATAGTCCCAGAACTTGAGGGAAAAGTAACATTGTATCACATAATGATTGATACTTTTCTTCAATGAGTTAAATCTTTCCACATGCACACCAACACGCACATTCTGTTCCAAGCTTTTTGATCTATATAAACAGTTGATCACTATATTCATGATTACAAGCAGTTTCCACTTCAATAACAAAAGATGGGATTTCATCATTCATTATTCAAAACCACCAAGATCTAAAAAGTGTAATGTAATAATGTGATTTAACAACATTGGATAAAAAGTACATTTTGACTCTTCTATTGGATGCCATTCA